CATTACCTTCCCGCCGGAGGTAATTGATCTACTCACATTTGCATGTTTTCAAACTGCTAGGTTGGCAGAAGCTGGGGCTGACAGCGGAAGCTTACGCCGCTCTCCAGGTTGGAATCTGCGACCTTTCAGTCAACAAGTTTAGCAGCTCAGTGGTTTAACCCACTGCACCACTGGGAGCTCCTTTAATAAGTTAATCAGAGCTTAATTTTTACAATAAAAATTCTCCCAAGCCTTTTCAGGTTGGCAAGAAGAGGGAAACAAAGACGAGACTGCCATAATTCATCCACTGATCCTGGACAAATACTTATTTCTGTTGGAGAACTGTGGTGGGCCAAACCATTAAATCCCTGGAGCCACAAGCCAGGCACAAGACTGAAAATGCATAGTAAACAATACATTTTGTGGTTACCCAACTATGTGTTGCTTAACTCTACTAATGAAAGAATATCTTTGTTTCCTCAGAAGGTGAAAGAAGACACTTGCATAAACCATAAATTGTGCCTAGCTGGAAGAGCGTTTTGCCACAAAATCAATTTGTAGCATCCCCAGCTATCAGCAGGTACAGTTTGAACTTCTCTTATCTAGAATTTTGAAACCCCAAATTAGAAATTGTCCACATACATGCCTGTGATAATAGCTCCTTTGCTTTCTGAAACTTTTACATAAAACTTTGTTTCATGTAAAAAATAAAAATAAAATTATATTATAAAATCACCAGCATGTGGGTTATCAGAGCTGTTGTGGACTCCTGATACTGGTATCAGCAGAAGCACCCATATTCCCAGGTCTAATGAGGGAGGTGATGGTAATAGAGTGGTAAGGTGACAGTCCAACAGAGCCAGTGTGCTCATGGGTTGAGGGTTCACCACCGCAGGTTGGGGACAGAATGTGTGGCTGCCTGTGGTATCCGTGTACACGAATTCTCAGTCTCACAAGGCAATGGAACCCCCTTTCTGCATAAATCATGCCCAAAAACTGTTGTGGTAGGTTCACCTTTGGGCAAGTCCAAAATGACTTGAAGGCACACAGCAATGGCTATGTAGCTTTATGTAAAACCTAACCATTAAGCAAGAAGGGACCTCTTTTTTTGGTCTACATGTGGTGCACAGCAATGGCATGAATGTGAAAGTGTCAGATACTGTGGCAGCACTTTTACAAAACCCAAGTGTGGGCATAGTGCAGCTGTCCAGTTACGGTTGGCTTGTAACTCCTAGCAGCCTTGGTCAGCATGGCCAGTGGGGAGGAATGCTTGGCAGCAGCAGTTCAACAATGTCTGGAAGGCCAGATTTTAATCCCCAATATAATTAAGATGGTTAGTTGTGAAAATCCTCCACATAAATTTGTTTCAAAACTCAAGACTCACCCTTGATTGCAAATTCGTTATATAGGGTTTGTGTGTTCCTGTTGGACCAATTCAGGGAGCGGATAGAAATAGCTTCTAAACAATTTATGCCACAGTATATTTCAGTGATCTTAAACCTTATCCAATTAGGTTGTTATAATGTAGTATGTTTCTAGAGGAGGTTGGTGTGTATTCTTGGGACAGTTTGGAGAGAGGTCACCCCCCACCCCCAACCTCAACAGGATATCTAAATGATGACTGTATTAAGGTGGCGTAATGAGTTTGTATAGATGATCCCAAAATTCCATGCTATCTGCTTATCCTGCCCTTCAGGTGGGAGATAAAGGAAGAGGGTGGGATTTCTGGAGTCATTACAGAAATAAATGAATCACGATCTTGGAAAGGGGGCAGAGTTTAGCATTTTGACACAAGTTATAGATCATCTATATTATATAGATATACACATTGGGTTGTTGTAGGTTTTTCCGGGCTATATGGCCATGTTCTGGAGGCAATTTTTCTCCTGACGTTTCGCCTGCATCTATGGCAAGCATCCTCGGAGGTAATGAGGTCTGTTGGAACTAGGAAAAATGGGTTTATATATCTGTGGAATGACCAGGGTGAGACAAAGGACTTTTGTTTGCTGGGGCTAGCTGTGAATGTTTCAGCTGATCACCTTGATTTGCATTCAGTGGCTTGGAAGCGCCTGGGGGGAATCTTTTGTTGAGAGTGATTTCATGTGCCTGTTTGTTTCCCCTCTGTTGTTTTGCTGCTGTAATTTTTGAGTTTTTTAATACTGGTAGCCAGATTTTGTTCATTTTCATGGTTTCTTCCTTTCTGTTGAAATTGTCCACATGCTTGTGGATTTCAGTGGCTTCTCTGTGTAGTCTGACATGGGCTCAAAGCCAACCTTAAAAACTCTGGCATAGACACTGAGAACTGGGAAGCCCTGGCCCTTGAGTGCTCCAGTTGGAGGTCAGTTGTAACCAGCAGTGCTGCAGAATTTGAAGAGGCACGAATGGAGCGTCAAGCCAACCTCGACCGGGACCGCCTTCCACCTGGAAACCAATGTCCTCACTGTGGGAGATGTAGATCAGGAATAGGGCTCCAGAGTCACCTACGGACCCACCACCAGGATACTACACTTGGAGGACCATCATCCTCGGACTATGAGGGGTCGCCTAAATAAGTAAGATACCTTGAATTCTGGTAAAATTGTTGCAGCACTATGTGTGCTTTCTGTGTTTGCTTTACTGAATTATGAACACAAAAGATCCAATGAGAAGAATAACAGCAAGCATTCTAGATCTCATCATCCTTGGATCAACATTATAACTAAATAGTTGCTTTTCAAGCACTGTATCTTCTAAAGCAACAGTTAACTTTCATGCAAGCATACGGTACTATACATTGAGTATATAACTTGTTATTTTCTGAAAAACACACTCCCCACATTGTCAGGAATTCTGCTCAATTCACAGTGCTTGAGCTGGAAATCACTGTTACTGAAAGGGCTTTTAAACAAAGTATTTTATGAATCACCTACAACAATATAAATGCGGGATTGGCAACATAAGAAGCAGCTGCAGTTTTGCACTTAGTTCACTTCCATAATATCTGGAAGGACAGGTTGCTTACCTGTAACCATGTTTCTTCGAGTGGTCGTCTGTGTGGGTTTGTGTAGATTCACAGAAAACCAGTCGGAGAAATATTGTTACAGATAAGCAACCAGTCCTTTTCCTCCATAGTCTCTGTAAATGCACACAATATGGAGACTAGCAAGCTTAAGGCATAGGTAGATGGGACATATGTCAAACCAACACCATGTAGTGAATTTTTTTTTGTCGTGTCAGGAGCATCCTGTTGTGAGAGAATTGGCCGTCTGCAAGGATGTTGCCCAGGGGACGCCCGGATGATTTTGATGTTTTATCATCCTTGTGGGAGGCTTCTATCATGTCCCCACATGAGGAGCTGGAGTTGATAGAGGGAGCTCATCTGCCTCTCCCCAGATTCGAACCTGCGACCCGTCGGTCTTCAGTCCTGCCGGCACAGGGCTTTAACCCACTGCGCCACCGGGGGCTCCATGTAGTGAATAAAATGATGTGTTTCTTTACTACATAGAGAAAAGACAAGAACATAACAGTGTCATTGCATCACAACAGTGAACGAACTTGGATGGACCAAGCTATGTAACATAACATGAAATCTCAAGCCCATTGCCTATAGAAGGCTGGGTCAGTGTAAGAACAGAGAGGAACATAGTCTCACCGCTTTATTGTATCTTATTATTTTTTGTCACCTTCTGCCATGCAGATTATCTAGGTGGGGAATGGCCTGATGTTATCTGTTGGGGAAGGCAGGCCGATGCAGTATGCCTCCGGGTTTGGCAAGAGATCCAGGCCCAAAGAAAGAACAGATTCTGAGTGAATAGAATTTGCATTGTCCTGGTTGGGCTTGCAGCCATCAAACTAGTGTGGAGGTGGCAGGGGTGTTCTTGGTATTGTGGGCCCCATACAGGGTGCCACTAGTGCCTCTGAGGCTCTAAGAGGTGTCAGTCTCCTTGGGGTCTGCTTTGATGTGGAGCCCTGCACCGCTCCTGCCAGTTGTGCTGTTTGCCTGCCCCTCTCTGGGGTAGTCATTGGCTCCGGGAACACTTCTTCCTGAGCTTGAGGCTGTGGAGCCAGTTGTGGTGAAGGTTGAGTTGGGGTCTGGATGACTGTTTGAGTTGATCTGGATGGAGAATCCTGACTCTCGCTTTGGACATTGATACCACTACCGAATCTGGTGATGAGCGAACCAATGGGCTGGTTGGAGGGACAGCAATGGTCGACGAGATGAGGCCACTGAGGAAGAGGCTTTGTCTCTTTTAGATGAAGAGGAGGAAGAAGCTTGTTGCTTGTCTCTTCCTCTTGGGCGTGGGCTGACTCAGCAAAGTCAGGTTGGCCTCAAGCGATTTTCTTGGGGTCAGGGGAATTGGGAATGAGGGAAAGTGTATTGACCTCTCCATGTGGGCTCATTTCAACTCCCCTTGCATGAGTTTGAATGAGATACACACAGAAGAGGTAGAGGGCGGAGTCGCTGTGATCAATCGTAACGACTGTGCCGAGGCCATTGAACTCAAGGTTGACAGAGACCTGAATGGTGGTGGGTGAGCCAACTGCTGCACCGGTTGGGGCAGTGGGCAAGAAGACATCAAGGCTCTAAAAGATTTTGAGCCCTTTGAAGTTGTCAAACTCTTTGAAGCAGCCACTGATGGTGCTGAGGTAGAAGTGGCTACGGAAGTTGATAGAGCTAAGGACTGACGGTGCAACAGTGCCTTTAGCCTAGCCACTCTGTTTTTTCTCGCTTGAGCCGTGAAGGTTTGGCAATGGCGGGTCCTTGCCGAGGCAGAGCAAGTACTTGTGTGAAGCTTGAAGCATGCCACTGACATCCCTATGAAGTTCCGAAGAGAGCTGCATGGTGGGACAAAAGGAACTCTAGAGCCAGGGCACCTAGAGAGGAGTGGGCGGGGTTACTGCCAAAATTTGAAAGATCACAGCTTGAAAAGCTTTCCTTTTGAGCCTTTGCAGACGCAGTAACTCCATACTGTGTGCATTCACAGAGGCCAGGAAGAAAAAATAACTTTCATTTGATTCAAGAAATAAAAACACTCAAAAGGTTTGGAGATTCATATATTTGTATTTAAGTTATCTTCTGAACAGTTAAAATATTTCTTTTAAAAAACCACACTTGTTACCATGACCCTAGCTCAAGTGAACATTAGTACATTAGCGACACAGCACCAGAACATAATCACAAAAATTCCAAAGCACTCATTACTTTTAGAATCTAGAGAACAAAGAGAGCAGAGTTACAAATACGATCGTATGCTTTTCTTTTCAACCTCCTGTGCCCACAATTCTCCGAGCTTCCTGCAGTTGCAATAGACATGTAGTAGTCTATTGGGTGTAAACTTTCAAGGGAACAACAAGATATTAGATAAGAGTAATTGTCATCATAACCAATTCTCTTTTGCCAGATTGTGAAGTTGCATCCCTTCCCACTATTATATACAAAAGCAAAACAGACAATTCCCTTTTAAAGAATAAAGACACAAAAAGGTTTGTTGTTATATTCTGAGCAGCACTCCAATGTATGACCAGCAGCTATTTTTTCTTTCCCACTTCAACCAGTCATGATTTGATATGTGAAAATTTACAGCTCCTTGTTTACTTCCACAGAGTTATGCAGTTCAAAACTCTGTGTTAAACAATAAAAGCAGCTAGTAGGATTACAGTTATATGTAGAAAATAAAACAGGGCATTTAGAAGCATTTCAGAAAAAAAAGTTCCTCTGTATTTTTCTAATAAAGCATCTGCTTGGAGCAGCGTTGCCCAAATGCCGGTGTTCCAGATTTTTTGGACTTCACCTCCCAGAATCTCTGATCACTGGCCAAGGCAGCTGAGGCTCTTGGGAGCTGAAGTCCAAAACACCTGAAGGGCCAGAGTTTGGAAATCATTGGCTTAAATGTAATGCAAGCAGGGCACATTTTTTTCAATTCTGCACTCACAGTAGGAATGTATGCACATTAGATCCTTGAGAATCTCAGCTTCCACTTTAAAAAATGTTTCTAGCCTATGTTGTAGTGAAAATGTATTAGAAAGCATGCAAGAATAATTGTGAAATGCTCTGTCAAACAGTGGAGCATCAGTTTCTGCAGTCCATCTTCACAGCCTTGTTTTGCTCTTTCCCGTACAGTCAGCCCCTCACAACCATCAAGTCTCTCTGACAGGTTGGCTTTCTGTGCCCAACATTTGTATACTACGCAAGAACTCAAATACTGAGTTCAGAACAAAGCATGCAAATTAACACTTAAGCAAATTTGGGCACTTTTTTTGGGTTTGTATAATTCATTGTGAACACTGACATTTGGGTTTTCTACGCACAAAAGGAGACCAGGCAAATACTGCATCAGGAAAAGTGATTTGAGATCGGAAAATATGACCCAGGTAACAGCTTCTAAACAGACTTATTTTTGTCACCCAGTGATAGGGTTGATGTGGATGTCTAATATCCCCTTCCTGACATACTCCACATCAGTGGGAAAGATCACTAACTTATAAATCTTGGCATGATCATTACTTTACAGGATCCGAATACAACTGAGCAACAACTCAAGCACATTCTCCAGACCTCAGTTACTTATCCAACATGTAACTACATTTGTGGAAGGATGCAGCAGGATCTTGGAGAGAGCTTCCATTGTGAAAAGCAGATAGAGAGTCGCCCAACTGCAATTTCACTAGGAAGCTCTACAGAGGATGGGTTCAACCCATGCATAAATTTAGTAACCATGTTACAGATCAGGATCAAGAGGTGTGTCTTATAATACAAAGATGTTGCTCCCAGAACATGCAGTTCCTAACATGCAGCATTTAAACTCGTGGAGGTTGCTTAGGGAAAGGTGGCTTACAGTCAAAATTGTGCTTCCATTACCACAGTGAGCTCACACTGGATATGTGGGACTGATTTCATTCGAAAGGGAGATCACCCAGAAACACTACTTAGGGAGCAAAGGAATACCATGTGGAAGGTCTCCTGTTTCAGGAGAATTACTATTTGATGGGAACCTGGGGCACAGCTTAGAATTGTTAATATGCATCATATAGGGCATAAGGGACCATGAAAACATTGTGTGTCATTTCTGAGTTTGTCTAATATTTCCTCCCCAAATAGAGGAGGATGTGCTAAGAAGGAGGCAACTTGGATAGGCCTTCATTACAGAAAACCACTAGATTTTCCTCCTGCAAAGAGTTCACTCATCCCAGTATAAAGGAACAGTGGGAAAAAACACAGGGATTGGCATTTCTCCTGACTGTTAACTCTATATGTTTGAGCCTCATAACATTTTTGAGAGGTGCCAAACACCCACTATTTATTTCCAAATTCAAAATAGAGAATGCTACCCTCTCCTGTTTTTACATTTCACAAGCAAGCATAGAGCCATAAAACAGTCACCAAGCATTCAGCTTGTTGGAACATGAAAAGTGTTCACCATTATGGTATAGGATTCCTATGCAACATATTAAGTTGTGCACACACACACAGAGCTTATGAGAATTAGCTGTCTTACTGTTAGAAACGCCCATTTTATATAGTAGGGTCATCTCCTATGATTAAGAGTTAGTTGTGCGTTGCAAGTGAATTCTTTCCTGTCGACTCCTCTACTTCAGAGTGAAAGGCAGGAGGACTATTTGTGATCAGCAGTTCCAAGTCAACATTTCATTCTAAAGCAAGCTCTAGAACTCAGTGTATTCTAGGAAGACAAAAAAAAGAAAACTCCTCCAGCTCTCAGTTCAAATCCCTTCAGGATATTGATCCCATTAGGATATGAAACACTGATGCATAGAAATAACCAGATACAAGGCTTTGAGCCTTCCAGTGAACACCAGCCTTTCTAAATGGTTAGAAATAGAATAGGCTGAAAAAACCTGTAAACGCCATTTTTAAAGAAATTCTTCGAACTTGAGAGGGATAGAAATGGAAAGAGCAGATCTCAATTTCTCAAGTAGTCTTTTCCTATAGTGGGCTTTCATTTTATTAAAAAAACACCACTTCTTCCTTTGAAATTTTTAAAGCAAAACATACTATAGTTAATTGTTCAGTACCATGTTTGATTAGAAAACCCAAAAGCATTGCTTAGAAACGCTCAGAAACGGCAGCAAGAAAGATCAGGACCATAATAACCAAGGAAGGGTTGCACCAGCAATCTCTTATTTGATCCCCAAACTCCTTGTAACGTAGCCCACCTGCAAAAAAATGTGCTTGACACAGCCACAACCAAATAGACACACACACACACACACCAGCATTCAGGTGAGAAAGCACTGATCTCACAGCTCTGCCTGCAAGCAAGAGAACGGAAATAACCTGTTGATGCTCCAACTATAGCCGATCTGCCGTCTTGTACAGAGTCAACACTGCAAAGTCTATAGGCCAGGGACCTAAGGGGATAGTGATTAAAGAGCGTCAAGGGCAAAAGTGTGTCTCCAAATATAAGAAAACGTATGTGGTGTACTACGCAGAGTAAAATCTTCTGATATCTGGAGGGCTTATGTTTACGATTACAGAAAGACAGGTGCATGTGTGCATGAATAGATCAACATAATCCCTGTCCAAAAAGAACAGTTACTGCTGACTATGCCTTTGGTGAAGATATGGGTGTGGATGACATATAGACTGAATACCCTTGGATAGGGCAGAGGAGCTCAATGCAAATCAATACTAACAGACAGGACCAGCTGTCCAATTATCCTTAGTTCCACCAACTTATGAACGTATTGAGCCTGGCTTGGTAAATGCCAAAATTGAGCCATTTCCACTCCCAAAGAAATGAAGAATATACAGGTTACAGAGGTAACTTGCCTGGCTAGCAGCATAAGTTCAAATATTAATTCTTGTTTCCTTTCTTCCTCAAACAAATGCTTAACAGAAGAGTTAGTATCTTGTTGTCAAAAGACAAGATTTCTAATAGTCTCATGAGATCATGACAATTATCAGAATCGCTTCTGAAGGCAGTGGGGGTAACTTAGTACCACGGGACAGGTTTGTTTTTGGTCTTTTTTGCCACTAGACAAGATTCCCCGTGTTTCTTTTCCTCTGTTCTCCCATCCTGCATTAATTAGCCTTAATAACTTGCAGATTGTAATGAGAAATCTCCGTAAGCCTTCACTGCTTCAGTAGTTCCTTTCCAGCTGATTTTTTTTGGCATTGTACAACAGCCAGCCTGCCAGTAACAATACAATCAGGTTAGCAAGAAATATTTGAATGACCACGTCATTCACTCAGTACTGATGGGAGTTCATGAAGATACTTCCAATATTGGCATCATACTATTCCCTACAATAAAGGATCCAGGTCCCATGGTGCTTCAAGGCAGAAGCAAAGGAGAACAAGGGACTTTGTTCTTACCAAGACCCCCAATGTAGTGAACCATTATGTAGCCACATTACAACCATTAATCCTCTCTTCCATTACAGTACTAAACTTTGACCGAAGTGAACCATTCATCAGATGTCAACTCCCGACCAACATTTCATATACATGAATAATTGCAAAGGTTTAGATAAAATTGTTGAAACTTTTATCATGATCTTTTAACTGATTTCTGACCATCAGGGCCTCTTTTTTTCAAAAATCTGGCCACTCTCTAAGGCCGTCCCACAAATAAGTAGAAGTGCTTACACAAGCCCCTAAAGGTGGAGGCATCAACCAGCTGTTCCCCTTCTATCAATACATCAAATGGCGAGTGTCCTGAAAGAACGCAGGGTGGCAACGATTTTTCTGCTTAAGAGCAAAACAAGAAACATGGCAACATGTTAAATATATTTATAAGATGCCTGTAGTCGGGACAAGAGAGGAGATGTGGTGGGATAGAAGAGGGGAAGTCTAACACATCAGTCACTCAGGAAACATAAACGAAATCTTCTGATATAGCAGCACTTGAGCAGTCAGCCGAGTTAAGATGAACTCGTTCAAGATCAACCTCTTGCCAACTTGGTTCCAGAAGTGTATCTGAGGGCCTCTGTTCAGGAATATGTTTTGTGGGTAATTCTTTTGCCCTGGCGTTGGCAGACAGTTTAAATATCGCAGCTTAAATGAGTCCTGGAAGGGGAAAAAAAAGACAAGGCATGAATTACACAGCTCAACAAGATTTTTTTTCTTAGTGTTTTGGTTTTTAGGTCTGTTCCTAGGATTATTTGGGGCACTGATTCAGAAAATTGCATTGGATAGACTGCATCACCTCTAGTTTCTTAGATATGGTTATCAATTTTTATGGGCAAGTAGATGAAGACTGCTATATGGCATATATTCTGTATCTCAAAAAGGAAAACTGGGACCATTTTTGGAATCAGCAGGTCAAATATACCTAGAAACAGATCTCACACTTGAGGCATCAAAATGTGTGTTGGCCAGTGTTATATATGGACTAAAGGGTCATTGCAAGGTATGAGGGTGATGTTTAACTGTCTAACAGTCACTTTAGCTGGAGAACTGTGAGTTTAGATAAATCCCAGAGCAAAGTGTTCTATCTCAAAATGACCAGCCAAATGTAGATACAGTTGGCCAATCCTTTGAAGTACAGAAAATGGGGGCCAAGTAATATCCACTCAGATCCTCCTTTCTAAACTTAGTTTCTAAATTGTTTTCTTCAGACAAAAAGAAACAAATCTTATTGGTAAGAAAATAAATGACTGACTAGAAGAACTGATGAGGGAATGGCCTTCTAAACTCCTATTTGAAGCCACTTATTCCGGTTTTTGGGAAGACTGTGTTAAAGAATCAGACAAAACTTGGGACTTTTAGAATACTGTAAACTACTTGGACATTTATATCTATTGTATCTCCACTATACACCACACCTGCCATCACCAAGACCTCTTGGGTTTTTACCTGTGTAAGTGTGAGGTACAGTTTAGTGCTATTTATCTAGAGATGTAAGTATATGTTCTGGAAGGTGAGCGGTTAGAATCTCCTTGAGTAGCCAGGTCATTGAGGAAGTCCCAGATAAGGATGGTGTCATCATGCGAGCTGCTGACAATCTGAAATTCATCAAACTGGAGCCGGAAAACTCTGCCAGAGTGCTCCTGGGTGAAGGAAGAGAGAAGCCAAAATGAGTGCATTTTTCTAGTTACTGAAAGCTTAATCAGGCACATAATATTTCATATTTTCTAATCACTGCTTGAAATGAACGTTACACAGCCCCAAAACTTTTTTTTTCTTGGTATCTTGGTTTTCAGGCCTGTTCCTGGGTTTCTTTTAGGTCACTGGTTCAAAAAACTGCATTGGATAGACCTCATCAATTTTAGTTTCTTAGATATGGTAATCATGATTATCTATGGGGGAGCAGATGAAGACTGGTATATGGCATATGTTCTGTATCTGAAAAACTAGAGCTGATAAGAGGGAAACTGGTGTGATTTTTGGAATTAGCAAGTCAAATATACTCAGAAACAGGTCTAACATTTGAGGCACCAACATGTGTGTTGGCCAGTGTTATGTCACTAACAGGTTTACAGATGGTCCACTAGTTGGTCTACGAACTGACTACTTTCATCTGACGTACTTTTCTCCTAATAGTTCTACATGTAGTCTATTAAAATACATGCATTACAAAGTTTAGCAACCACCTGCTTATCTTGAATATGATATATTGAGAAATCCAAGAATCAGAATTTCTTTTTTAAATAAGAGGCAAATTTTCAACCCAAACAAAATTAAAGAGAAAGTTGGAATTAACTGGCAGTGTTTGGAAGACTCAGAAATCTGGTGTTGCCTTCTAACACTCAGGGCAAAGAACCCGACTCTCTCTGCCTTCTCTTTCTCCCTTATCATATTCCCAAAGGTCACTTTGACAGTTCCCACCACACTTGAGACAGTTACATATTGCAACATTTTCAAAATTTGGTGAATGAAACACATTACCAAATATTAGAAACACCATGAATAATTATGCTAATTTCACATTTACTGCAGTCATGGAATTGGACCTTTTTGCTTGCGGCCAACCATAACGTTGTGGGTCAGAAATACAAAACAGCCTATAAACACAAAATGCCCCACATAAATACACCACTGGCCTTTTTTTTTTTTTTGGGTAAACTATCAAACTATTTCTAATGTAAGCGGTGTGAACTAAAAGTAAAAGGATGGTTGCCAAGTTCAGAGGCTGGAGAAAATGACAAAGATTTTCAGGCAGAATCCTGTTGGTGATTCCCAACTACAGCAGACCCATGGAATCAGTTTCTCAGTACTATAAGTTTTTTCACTAATTTTCTATTTTTATACTTTCTTTTCCTGATTTTTTTAAAAAACATTTGATTCTGAATTAGATTTTGTTAAATAATTGGTGGGAGGTGGGTACAACATCATGTGTTCATTACAGAGCTAGGATAATTACCAGACATTGAAGAATAGCAGAAAAACTCCACATGGATTATTATTTCAGTTATGAAAGCACCTGTAACCTCCATGTTTCTGCCCAATCATTCTTGGGTAAGACTGTGAGACAACTTAATGAGGCAGTGAAATCTAGGGGTTTGTTTACATTGGTCACTTAGCTACAAGCAGCAGGTTTCATAATCCAGCCTCAGCTGAAGTGTGAACAGAGTCACTCAGGGGCAATGGACACAGACGCCCCCAGTGCCTCATTAATGCTCAATGAATTCTACACTGCTTCCCACATTTGGTGGTCTAGGATCAGAAAAGCAAAACAGGATGCTTCCTTTTTTTTCAATTGACACTGCGTTCTCTATGAAAGAGCATGACAGTATTCAGGGAAGCAGCTGAGCTGGCCCTACACTATGTGGTTTAGCTCAAAACACATTTGGAAGAAATGTATCGGAGCCACTATACTTAAGGATATGTAAGTCAGTGAAGAGGTAAACTCAATAGATTGTGGACATAATTTTTGGATGAGCATGGCAACCAGGCATGTACCATAGAGACTTGGCTGAATAAGGCAGCAGTGGGGAGGGAATTGAATTCTCTCTCAGCTCTGTGCACAAGGGCTCTCTGTTCAGCAATAAGTGAGATGTAGGCAACCAGGAGGTGGAGATGCCGTGGTCTATTGAGATTCCATCTCCTTGACCAGGTGCCTTATCTCAGTTTCTGGATCTGAGTCTGTGCACCTGAAGCCAGTGGTTAGGACATATTAAGGAGGCAACGGGCTTCCTTTGGAAACATAAACTTGTAACTGTACACAACACAAGTAATGAATAAACAAAAATGTGAAGCTGAAGAAAGATACAAGGCAAATCTCCCCCCCCCCCCACATAGATTCTAGTGATGTATATGCAAAATCCAGCAAAAAAATCCCAAATTTCAAACACTTCTGCTCCCAAATATTTTAGATAAGGGATATATAACTTCTAATATCAACATTTTGGTTTTGATCTCCGGTTCCAACATACAATGAATCTGGATTTGCTGGAGTGACTGCAGATGAACATACTGTATTCTATTGCAGTTTATCCAACGAAATGAATCTTCCTTACAAATTAATACCGAAGGGATTCTTTTCTCCTGTTTTCAGCAACTGAAAACCCTTACCACAAGAGTACGCAGGCACAGGGTTCCGGCGGGGGCACGAGGGTCCAGGGCAGCCACCAAATCCCACACTTTAATTTTCCTGACAGCAAGGAAGAGAAGATAAATATAAACACTAGAAGAAATTAAAATAAATTAGCTATTATACAACATTTAGATAATATATCCAGTATGTGTGTGGTGGGAGGAGTTCAAGGAAGGGAATGAACACTCAATTCTATTGTTTGGTTCTCCTATTTTCTCTTGGGTCAAACTGGGTATTAAGCTGATCTTAAAGGATGAGAAAACTGTGTGGTTAACATAACAAGTGATATCAACAGAATCAGAAACATTCATAAAAGGTTACACTGTAATGCCACACTGTATTGAAACAGACAGATGACAAAAATATGTGAAGCAAAACACCCTTTCTTTTACATGAGAAAGGTAAACGAAGGAAAATGAAGTTATGGCTGCTTCTGTGTAGGTAGATAGGAAGACATGATACTCTTGCAGCTGAATCTATGCTGTTAGGTGAGCACCCACCAAAACGAAACTCCCTAATTCACTATGTCAGAAAGGTTTAGAGAGAGCGACTAGCAATCTCACACTTTTACAATTAATATGTGTCATCTGCCATCAAGATGGGTTCTAGTCATAAATCCAGGGCTGCTTCAACAATGCTGGGATATGGGAAAATTATTCAAATCTCTGTTTAGCCATAACGCTCACTGGATACTTTGTCAAGTCACTACCTCTCAGTCCATCCTCATACAGATTGGCTTTGAAGATAAGAAATAAGAGATCCTCTGATAAGACTCATTTTGTGTCTTTCTCAACCAAGACTAAGGGGAAAGTGTTTATTAATATCTGTTCTCTATCACTCACCCATCATAGGCTCCGCTTACTATCCTCTTGCTATCAAAGCGAATGCATCTCACCAGCTCTTCATGACCTTCTAGGACTCGCAAGCAAGCTCCACACTCAATGTCCCATAACCTGTCAGAAGACAAGATAAATAATCATTATTAAGTAATTGTTTTAAAATACTGTATTGCCTATTTAATTTAGGAAAAGGAGGACTGTTAATCTCCAATTTTCCTTCTACATTAGTATTTGCACTAAGAATACCAAGATTTTCAATATGAAACCTCACTATTTTCTGTTTCTAAAAAATTCAGTACAGCAGTCATTTTCTGCTTAAATGTCGTTTTGGACAAAATTTCACTCTTGCTGGGAGTCGGTTTTTCTACTGGAAACCACTCAGGTGGTTTTACTAAAAGCCTTTTTCCCCAGTAATATCTCCAATTTCAGCTTCTGAGAGCAAATCTGCCACAGTCAACTGTGTCATGGTAGCCTTCAATTACCTTAAAATAATAGATGTGAGAGACCTTTGGTGATTCTTTAGAAATGTCAGGTAGTTTAGAAAGCTGTTGTTGATTTGTGGTTGGAATGGACAGCAAGGAACAAATGGCACAAATTCTTACGCAGCCAAAATATCAGCAAGTTTGCTTTCAAGTCCCACATGATGGTGTTTATATAAAATCACAAACAGTTTGGGTCCAAGTGCTTCCTTCATACAAGGTTTGCATTTTTCACAGATCTGCATGTAATATCTGTCAGTCATATTACAATATAAAATTGATTTGTTGCCAACATAGTGACAATTTGATAAAAAATATACAGCTGATGAGTAAATTATCTATCCCTATCTTGAAGTGATGGATTTGTAATTGGAGTCTGCAGGACTTTTGCAAGGTTGCCCCAGGGGAACAGGTGGTGTTATATATACTTTATGATAGATGGATAAAAAGACAGTTGTTACACATTTTATGACCCATGAAGCAAATGGCTGTGTAAGTTGAAAAAGCAGTTCTATGGTTTTTTGACCCCTCTTCTTTCTAAGAAATTGATCTTTTTAATGGTAATTCTACCCTCCAAATTGGAAGATGTTTAAAGGTTTCTCTTTATAACAAAATTTACAAGGGATAGGGTATATAAGAAGGTGAAATCACAAGGAAGGTGAAATCTAGAGGGGTGTGCGTGTGAGATAGAGGGTTGAGGAGTTCTCATTGTTCAGAGCTTTTATTTGTATGGCTTGCTATGGTTGTTGTTCATTCGTTCAGTCGTCTCCGACTCTTCGTGACCTCATGGACCAGCCTACGCCAGAGCTCCCTGTCGGCTGTTACCACCCCCAGCTCCCTCAAGGTCAGTCCAGTCACTTCAAGGATGCCATCCATCCATCTTGCCCTTGGTCGGCCCCTCTTCCTTTTGCTATGGTAGTATTCTATTTTTGAAACATGTTACATATTATGGGGGATGGTTGTCAAGTCTGATGTATTTAGTAGAAATTGAAAAAATGTCTCACTTCATATTAGGGCTGTTTATCAAAGACTTGCAAGTTCCTGTAGATATTTTGTGGGGGGAAAAAGAAAACTATTTCATAAATTTTGGTTTTGATGATGATAAAAGAAAGAATATGCCAAACAATAACTTTGAAGAGAGGGGGTAATAATATATGCATGCAAATAGAACTGTAAAACAAAGATCAACATCACTTTTTCCTCTTCTGTTTTTGATCTGTATTTTTTTAATTTTGATTTCAATGAATTTCAGTATTTTTATCTTTTTTTTCCTTTCAATTTCTCTAGTTCCTTATATATATATTTTAAAAAATTAATGAAAACTCTTTTTAAAAAGGAAGTTTTTGTTAAAATACAGCTTTAACTGTTGAAGAAAAGAGGTGGCAACAATCTATTAACTCAGGGTCAATTCTTCCTGCCATGAATTCGAGGAATGGTACTATGTCATAAATAGCACCTCTGTGGTGCACTGTACAGCAAAGTATACTTCCTTACTGTTTGGCAAGGCAGATCATAATGTCACTGTCATTTTGTCCATCTCTGGGTTTCTCTTCCATTAATAAGTAACCTTGTGCAACAATCTAACAGCCTCACACTTCACAATATAAGCACTTGCCCTCCTTCTTGAAATCTGCACAGAAAATCAGTGCAAAAAAACACTGTGGTAAAATTACATTTTTGGGCTTGTATTTTTATTTGAGCCCTCCAAGTCTTTTTCATTGTGCAATTTTTTACACTAGCTAAAAATGTTTTTTTCTTCTTCCAGGTATTTAATATGATAAATTTCGGATGGTAGATGATATTGTTCTATTTTCTAATTTTGAAATCTGGTGATTTATGTTAAGTTTCTCATTACTGACTTTTTTTGTGTGTCTGGAGCGACTTGAGAAATTCCTACTTCCACATGTGGTGGACCTGTGAGAAAGCGAAAGGCTATTGGAAGATGATACAAAAAGAAATTCAAAATATGCTTAAAATTAAACTACCAATGAAACCAGAACTGTTCCTCTTGGGAATGTATGATAACAATATGGAAAAAGACAAAGATAAAATCTTATTTCTAGCATTAACGGCTGCAAGGATGTGCTATGCAAAAAAATGGAGACAAACAGAAATACCAGAAGAAGACGAATGGATGATAAAAATGTTGGACATCAGTAACTTAGACAGACTTACTTTTCTATTATTGAAAAACAAAGAAACTGGAAGAAACAGACTGGAGAGACGTGACCAATTATTTAAAGGAAAAGAAGAAAGAGACATTGGTTTAGAGGGAAGAGGAGAAATGAAGATGAAAACCAAAAGAGGAAGGGAAAGAAAGATAGAAGAGAAGAAAGATAAAGAAGGTTACTTTTTATTTTTTGTCTTTTTCTTTTAAGAGAAGAATGAACAGAAGATTTTCTGAAGACACCAGGAGGTCGAGATACTTTTATTTATTCCCCCCCCCTCTCTTTTACTCTTTATTCTTTCTTCTTCCTTCTTCTTCTTTTTTCTTTTTCTTATCCCTTTCCTTTCTTTCTTCTCTTTTCTCTGTATCCCTCTTTCCTCTTTTGCCCTTTTTTTTCTTTTTTTTTCTTTCTCCTTTTTTCATGTTTTTTTCCTTTTTATCTATACCCATATATCTACTTTTATCTTATATGAAAATTTCAATAAAGATTATTTAAAAAAAAAGAAATTGCAAGTTGCTTCTAGTGTGAGAGAATTGGCTGTCTGCAAAGATGCTGCCCAGGGGACGCCCGGATGTTTTGACTTTTTACCATCCTTGTGGAAGGCTTCTCTCATGTCCCCGCATGGGGAGCTGGAGCTGACAGGGGGTGCTCATCTGTGCTGTCTCTCCCCGGATTTGAACCTGCAACCTGTTGGTCTTCAGTCCTGCCGGCAAAGGGTTTAACCCATTGTGTCACCGGGGACTCCTTATTACTGACTGTATTAGTATTGCTTTGTAATTGCTGCCTGCTTAACTTTTTAAATAAATGTTGCTTCATTAAACTTATCTTTAGATTTCAAGATATTTTCCTTTTTGTATTTTTGGTTGGAGTACTGAATGCCCCATGCAGTTTCAAAACTATGGGGCAATGTAAGTGTAATCTCAACATATCACTACTGGACATGTTAAAGTCCTAAAAGTAAATGGAACTGAAGAGTTTCAGATAGAAGGGGAGTAAAGAGGGAAGATCAGCCAACTTCCATCCATGCTGCATTTGGAACAGGCCTGTCCTTCATGAATTCGGTAATTCTCGTGTACCTTGTGTCCACTGCTAGAAACCTTTATCCATTAGGCAATAATGTTTAGATGAAGAGGACATAGTGCCCCTCAGTCACATTATACTGACAAGGTGGTTGCTAGCTTAAAATAAACGATACCCTTTCTGTGCGGGGAGCTGTCTGTTGGAAGACAGTATGGGTAAATTTCAACAATGTCACCAACCTGTCTCCTACACTGATAGGGAAATTAGGGTAGGCAATAAGGACTTTATAAAAGGAATTGCCAGGCTCTGTGCCTTTTCTCCTTTCACAGAAGCTGCAATGTGAAGAACGGAAGTTTCTAGGACTTGCTTTTACTGGGCTACATTTGCAGAATTCTAGTTCAAAAACTCTGAAGCTCTTAACCTTTGTAATACCCACTGACAAGTGTGAAATGCTGTACAGGACATGGAGGTCGTGCTGCCTTTGCTCAGCAGGTTTACAATCTACATATAAAGGACAAGAGAACAGCAAGGGAAATGCATGCTTCCAGCCAAAGCTTTGCAGAATGATTTCACAAAGCAAGCAGGCCAATATGCCTCAACCTGGATCCTGTCGAGATATGCTGCCGACTACTGCAAAATTCTAGCATACGAATTTTACTCTGTGTAAGCATAAAAGTAATTGTATTCCCCTTTAAATTTATTACCATATTGACATTTATATTTGTTGGTTATTACTATGTAGGTCTGTGGTTGCTTTCCCAAGCTCTGCAATATTTAACTATTTCCTGCTCAGATTCCTACTGAGATTTGTGCTTTCCAAATGTTATATCTGTAGATTTGTTGTGTTTATTTGTTGTTGTTTTCAGAGTGGCAGACTGCTAAAGTGGAGCATCAGACAAAGTTCACACATTAAGCAAACACATTTTTTCTCAAAACAAGGTTGCTCTTCAGATATTTGTTGAATCATACCATGAGGCAACACCTAATGCACCTCTTCCAGCAAATCTATGACGCTACTTTAAAATCTTTTGATCTTTAAAAGATGTTAAATTGAATGCGGCTGGTGAGTGAAGGCGATAATTGGCGAATGGCTTCAACTGTCCCATCCCAATTCCCCATGTCTCTCATTTAAATTGCCTGCTGCACAGCTCTCTGATCTCTTTGTTTTCATTACTCATGTTACTTCAATTACCTCGGTAACTAGCTTTCACTAAAGCTACATTGGTCAATTATCAGCCTCTAAAGTTCCTTAATGAAAGGATTTGTTTCTTCATTGTTGTATCTGCATTTGGACACTCAGCAGTTTAGTACATTTGACCTTGGGCCTACAGAATTACACACAATAACAAGAAAGAAGATCATCACCAACTGGAGTAACCTCTCTTGGTCTAATCAAAACGGACCCCTTGCCAGATTTTAAACGTTTGCATACTCAACCCGCTGGGCACCTGGTGGCGCAGTGGGTTAAACCACTGAGCTGCTGAACTTGCTGATCAAAAGGTTGGCAGCTGGAACCCGGGGAGCAGGGTGAGCTCCTGCTATTAGGCCCAGCTTCTGCCAACCTAGCAGTTTGAAAAAATGCAAATGTGAGGTATCACCTTGGCGGGAAGGTAACGATGCTCTATGCAGTGATGCTGGCCACATGACCTTGGGGGTGGTGCTCATCTACATTTCTAAGCCAAAGAACCGGAGTTGTCCATAGATGCCTCAAGGTTGTGACTGCATGGAGCACCGTTACATTTCCGCTGAAGCGATACCTATTGATCTACTCACATTTGCATGTTTTCAAACTGCTATGTTGGCAGAAGCTGGGGCTGACTTCCGCTCCCCGGATTCAAACCGCCAACCTTCAGCAGCTTAGCGGTTTAACCTGCTGTGCCACTGCGGCCCCCTATGCTACTATACAAATCCTATACTATGGCCCACTATACAAATCCTATACTACTGTTATAATCTGAATGACATCTCAAATATCCATTGTTCTTTTAAGATTTTGTCTGCTTCCAGCCGAAAGACAGCAAACAGACTAAAGTCCAGATCATCTGTTTCAGTCAGGGCCTTTGGCCAAGCACCATAAGAAAAGCTGGGGAGACAAAATGCCAGAAGAACATTGGTCCTCTATTAAAAGTTTCTTCTTGCGAATCCAACCCTTAAGTAGATTTTTATATATTTTAAATAATACTCAGGTCTATATATGAAGGAATATAAAGTGAAAAAGGTACTGCCACAAACTATTGCTGCCATTTTGTAATATTCCCACCTTAAAAACACATATACTATTAAGCAAACACACACACCCAACACACATATACCACTAAGCAAAAATGAAAACAAAACACACCACATCAGAGCCATGTTTCTAGAAGAAACTTCTCCCTAATGTGGCCGGTATGTTTGGAGGTTTGCAAGTGCAAGATTATCTTTTTAATGCAGTGCAACATCTACAAGTGTGGTCTTCCATCTACTTTACAATCTCAATTTAATGGAGTGTGTCAGTGTTTGTAACACAATTATATACCACTATACAGAATAACTCAAGCAGGGAAAATCAGAGCAGACACAAAGTGAACTGGAAACAGGTTAAGCACTCTCACAGTTTGCCTCAAAGTGGCTTATGTTAAAAAAAAAGGTCTACTTTTATATATAAAAAAGCCAAAACAAAGTTCAGGAAATTGGGGTATTTCTTACCTGATTGTATTATCTGATGAGCCACTGACTACTAGTCTTTCTCTGTACTGAAGACATGCAATGCCTCTCTTGTGGCCATTTAGAGTACGCACAAATTCACAAGTACTTGTGTTCCATACCTTTAAGGTGGACACAAAAAAGGAAATTGTTAGGAAAGTGACAGACAGAGATATCTGCATACACAAGGATTATTGGCACTTTTTGCGTGATGGTCATTCCCTGTAGTGGACAGAGGGCTATCTGCAAATGGGTGGTGTTCTTCAAATCCCAAGTGCCTATCTATAGGATATCCACTGTCTCCACATGGAGAATCCTGGCACTCACCATAAATAGTATTTTTCTATAGGGGATAGAGGACATCCTGCAGAAAGACAGTGAAATTCTGAGGTGATCCATTTGCAGAATTTTCTCTGTCACAAAGAGAAAGGCCATCTATTCTTAATGGGAGCCTACATAGCAAGGTTGGATCAGGACACAAAAGATTCTGGATACAATTCCCACTTGACTATTAAGCTCATAGAATGACCTTGGGTCAGTTGCACTCTCTCTCTATAATAATAACTTAAATGAAAGATTTTACAGGAAGACCGGTTAAGAAAACGGATTGGAAACTGTTCGATGAATATATGGAAAAACAGCAAACCCGGACACTGACAACACACTAACAGTGTAGGATGGAAAGAAATAGATATATCAAAAATAAACACAGACAGTGAAGCCAACATGGCAAGTAAGAAACAATAGACAAAAATTAAGAAGAGGACACGGAGAAGAAGATTGGGAATGCCAAATCTCTCCCCCCCCCCTTTTCTGATGTCCCATTCCTGTTTTTTATTTTTATTTTTATCCTTTTTTCTTTTTCTTTTCGTTTTTCTTTCTTCTTCTTCCCTAGCACTATATATCCAAACCCTTTTTCCCACATCCCAATTGTTTTTCCGATGTTCACTATACTCTTTTTCTATCCATATTCTCTCTCTCTCTCTCTCTCTATATATATGATTTGAAATGTGTCAATAAACATCATATTAAAAATAATAACTTTATTCTTATATCCTGCCACCATTTCCCTGAAGGGACTCGGGGTGGCTTACAGATGGCACAAAGTACCTAAAAACAAACACAAAAGTGAACACAATATAATATAAAATACAATCAAATAAAATACATGCACATATAAAAACATCTCTCTCTCTCTCTCTCTCTCTCTCTCAGTCTAGCCTTTATCACAGGAACATTTTGGAGATAATATGGCAGTAGTGAAAATGGCATATGCCAACGAGCTCCGTGGAGAAAGGTGGGATATAAATGGAACAAACCCAATAATAAACAGGTAACAGTTTAAAGTCATAATGATTTCACCTTTATAGTTCTATCACCTGACGCCGACACAATATACTTGTCATCAAAATCTACCACATTGACAGCTGCCCTGTGTCCGACCAGAACTCTGCGAAGTGTGATATCTGTTGGGGATGCCATGTCCCACACAGCAATGGAACGATCTTTGGAACATGTCACCATCATGCCATTATTAAAGCGCAGGTGCAGTACTGCTTCACAATGATGAATCAGCGTGTTTAGCATCTCACCCGTATTTACGTCCCACACCCTAGAATTTCCAATGTAAGACAAGAAGAAAAGCAAGAGAAAGATTGTAGTTTTTCAGTGAAAGCAGAAGGTTTAGAGCCATTACAAGGGGGCAGAAAAGATTTTATCATTAGACAAAGTCTCACAAATCCCATATTTTTCCATGTCAGAAGCAACTTGAGAAACTGCAAGTCGCTTCTGGCGTAAGGGAATTGGCCGTCTGCAGGGACGTTGCCCAGAGTACGCCCGGATGTTTTACCATTCTGTGGGAGGTTTCTCTCATGTCCCCACATGAGAAGCTAGAGCTCGACAGACAAGAGCTTATCCCGCTCCACAGATTCGAATCGCCAACCTGTCGGCACAAGGGTTTAACCCATTGCACCACCTGGGGCTCTGTTAAAAATGTGCCAAAAAGGCCCATCTTACAAGGGTAATTCAGTGGCAATGATCTAAATAGTAGTACTGATGTGAAAAGAACATTTCAATTAAAACACCTTTCTTTCTCTCAGCAACTTTCTGAGAAAGGATATTCTTGTATCTGTTTTAAAGCAGAAGAGCAATAAATGATAGATTGTGTAATTTGACCAATGTGATATCATGGATCCTGATTCAAACTGCTTCACCTTGCTAAAGACAGTATCCAGGGCAAAACATCGCCTCACCCCAAAACTGGCAACACAGTTTGCACTATTAATGACTCAAGAAGGCAAGGAAATAATAAAAAGAAACATCACAATTAGATAAACCTGAGAATTAGACATTTCTACTAGAGATGCAGAGTTTCTGTAATGCAAAATTTGGACTCTCTCAAAATTGTAGTTTCCTAGATATTCCATCTCAATTTTAATAATCATGGGGAAGAGGAGAAAATGGGCAAAATTTACAAACAGGGTTTTTTCCTTTAACTGAGACACTTCTTCAGTACGTTTCCTGGCTTTTGACCTGGGCAAATATTATAGATGTATCATTTCCCATCTGCTAATTTTTTTTGGCTCCCAAATGGGAGAGACATATAAAAGATGATGGGGAGCCAAAATGTCTGAAGACGGGGTTAAGCCGGAACCCGAAGAACTACAATGGTTACCAGTTTACCTCATGGCAAATTTTCAATTGCTGATGTTGGCCTTGAAAGCCCAAACTGGTTAAACTGAGGGTATCAAAGCCCAATGAGGAGGTGTGTTACTATCTTCTCTGAGGCTTTTATTGATCACTTCCAGCATTTTAAGTAAGTTTCATTAGTCAAGAACCTATTTGTTAACTTTTTGAAATCAAGTAAAAGTATTTCCTGTTTACTGTAACATGGCACCTAGCAAAACTGAGGGGGAGAAGGGGTTTGGGGTAATACTTTACTGATTGCTACTTTAATTCTCCATTCTTTAAAAAAACAAAACAAAGAACCTCTGTAACTGTTTTTGCATAGCCTGTCAGGAAAATCTGAATCTGTACGAAAAGATAGATATAATTATCGAACATGAATGAATGAATACCTGACAGTGGAATCTGATGATCCAGTGATGATCACTCGCTCATCATACTGAAGGCAAAGAACAGACCCCGTGTGTCCAGTCAGAATTCTCTTGCATTCTAATGTATTCTTGTCCCAGATCTAGGAAGGCAAAGGGGACTTCATCACCTTGGGACTTCATCAAAAGGTAAATGAACTATATTGCTAGACTGGCTCTTTTGTTTTCTACAGCACAGCATTTTATTTACTAAGGCGAGCAGAACTTCTTTAAGTGGCACACAATGCATTTTGTATTCCACAGGCACTTTGGAGCAATATAAACTATCCTTAATATCTCTGTTTTTAATATGAACATAGTGTTTACCCTTCTCATTAGGGAACAGGAAGACTTTAATTACGGAAGGACCAATAACATGGCTAGCAAGGAACACACTGCAAGAAAACGAAGCAGATAATATAGATTTATTCTCCTTGTTTAGAAAAAGGGGGGGGGAGGGGGAGAACCAATGCACTTAAAAGTCAAACTTGATGTGGGAGGGAGTGGAAGAAACAGAAGAAAAGGATTAACCTCATTCTTCTCAGTTTGTTTGCTGTGGTGTTCTGCCTAAATAAAATTAACACATGCATTTTTCTATAACTAGATCTCCAGTTTTTCCCAACCTTTTGAGGAACTCTCACCTTGATAGTGTTGTCCCGGAGGCCACTCACTATCTTCTGATCATCATATTGTAAACAATAAACTCCTTTGCTCGTTTCACTTCGACAGTGGATTCGTTGTAAGCTATGCCTTCCACATCGCCAGTTTGATTCTATTGTCTGACGGAGAAAGAAAAATAGTTTTAAAGTGGGGCACAAAAATCACAGAAATATGTTTGCGTTCTGAGACAACAGAGGCGGTTTTAATGCTGAAACCATCTATCTAGAATAGATAGTCCTAGGACATGCTAGGATGTTGCTCCCTCTTCACTTTCCCAGGCTCAATTTCCAAGAGGATGGTAGTCACTACGAAGGCAGAAACACCAATCACCAAACAATAGAACTCATAAATAATACTGGCAAGCTTATTCTAGGGATACATGATCAGAGGAAGGTGAAGGACAACCTCCTCTGAACAAATCTTGCCAAGAAAATTATGTAATAGCTTCATCGATACAACCACAAACAACAGTGGCTAATTGTCAACAGGCATGTTTATTCTGAGTCTCTCTCACTCTCTTGATTGGAGCACATGGTAGAATGCTTGCTGACCCTTGTCACTTCAACCTATACATTCTTTCTACTTCTGCCGATTGTCACTTCTGTTTGTCCATTAGAGAATAACACCTCTTTGATTCCAACCATCTTTTTGTCCTGCACATGGTCCACAGGGCACTACTCCTCTACTTTTATTAGGAACAACTTTTCCACAATTAAGTTAAATAGTATGAACTGCCAAATAAACCATGGATCTTGGTTATATTTTAACTACACCAGAAAAACACAAGAAGACTCAATGTGATGCAGCCTTGATCATTAATGAGACATTATGATATACTGACTTTTTAATTCATTGTAAATATAGAAACAGAAAGGTTCACTACATAATGGATTTTTAACAATGACAACATGTTTCTACCACATCACATTTTACTCCTATTTTTGGCAAGACAGGCCAGTGCATCGCAGTTCCTACCATCAATGTGTACCTCCCTTCAGTGAAATCGGTGGGAAGATAATGTATGAATAGATCAGAGCTTTAAAATTGACTCCTTATAGTGGCAGGACAATTCTGAGGTGCATGGTAACCTAAATTATTTTTTTTCCAAACTCTGAGACAGATCTAGTACATATGATACATTAAATAATAAGTTTTTTTTAAATTACTTCTAAAAAGGATATAACTTTGCACACAAAAATGCACATTTTGGTCATTATCCATACATCTGGTAGGGAGTGATAGCTGGCAAAATCACAGCAGGAAATGTATAGTGTCTACAGCAACCCCCAAGAAACTGAAGTGTTTTCTGGCTCTTACCTCTATATCTTGTATAATTTTGGGATAAAGTGCTCTGTAGAAGGAATTGGGTGGGGCCATCCCATCGGGAGGCTTGTTTTTAAAAAGGTATTGTCCCCTACAAGAAAGAAAGAAGAAATGAGGAGTAGCATTACTCATGGACTAGGCTCTTTTGTACAGCAGTTGTAAGAGGCTTGTAGCATTCCAATTTTGAGGCAGATAGAAAAGGTTGATTAGTTCTAGAATAGATGTTTCACCCCATCATCCTCTAACACTATTATTTTTAGGCTTACGACAGATCTAGTACGTACCTAATTAAATCTATAGACATTTCTTATCCTTTAAAAGGAGGAAGGAAAACTCTTCATGGGGAAGGGAAAGTAGGTAGGGAGGTTTCAAAGGAGAGTAACAGCAAAAGAACATGGTGGTTGTCCCTAGGCTCTAAACTTCTTTCCCAGGGAGGCCAAAATGTCTCTCTCACTGCTGTCCTTCCGGCAGCAGGCTAAAACCTTTCTATTCAGTCAGGCCTTTATAGAAGAAAGTTCTTAAGAGGGTGCTGGGAGCACTATAGAGTATTTGATTATTTTAACTGTTTGGAAGTGTTTTAAATTATATTAATTGACTTCTATGCTTAATTCAATTTTAATATTTGTATGCTCTGGATTTTAAATTCAATTATCTTAATGCTGTGACCTGCTTTGTGTCTCGATTGAGAGATAAAAACAGAATATTAATATAATAATAATAATAATAATAATAATAATAATATCTCAGAAGCCAGCAAGTTCTCCACAATGTAATTGTTCCTAAACAAAAGTGAAAGTTATGAAGCAATCCAGTGTAAGCAACTGTATTATGCTGCTGCCCCTAGTTTCTGGAAAAATGTTCTACTCTTCAATACAGATTATGAGATAAATTTGTCTAAATAAATTTGGGGGTGGCTGAGTGGAGATGGCATTGAATGGTCACTATTTCCTGGTGTCTCACTTTCTGAAATTCACTGTTACTTGGCATCTTAACATGTGAGGTATCCTAGAATGCGCAATGTGAACAACACACGGAAGGTTCAACAACTACAGTTGAGCCTCTGTATCCATGAATACTGCATCCCTGGATTCATTCATCCATAGCTTGAAAATATTTTTTTTTAAATCCAAAAAGCAACCCTCAATTTTGCTATTTTACATAAGGCATACCTTTTTATTATGCCATTATATATAACAGAACTTGAACATGTACCAATTCTGGTATCTGTGGGGGTCTAGATACTAAAAAGCCAGGTAATAAGTAATCTGTTTTCAATTATTTAAGCATAAATTAAACTGAGGATTTCTTTAAAAACCCTATATTTAATTTAGTTTATATTTCGTATTGTTTCAGTTATTTATGCATGTATGCACACATGCTTTGGGTTTCTCCACATCAGATGATGGAGAATCATAATTTCTTTATTACTGTAAATAATAGAAACTTCTAAATATAAATGCTGCAATTATTTTTGAATTCTTGAAAATATATTGGTAAATAAAACACTCAGCTATGAGATTTACTACCAACATATCTATGAGGTATTTTACTGAAATATAGCATCTTGCCTTATGCGATTTTGACAGCTAGATTCTAATTTATTGCATTTTTTGTTCCTGGAAAGCAAAAGAGGACACTCAGACTAAAATGTTATGTGATTACTCCTTTGTAACTGGAATATGTCAGTCTTGTTACACTCACTGATCAATCAATATAAATAGTGAAGAGTGACACAGGGGAGAAACAGATGGGTAGCTTACCTGTAAGCGTAATTCTTTGAGTGGTCATCTGTGAACTCACTCAATTGGGTTTACTGTGCCTCTGCAGTCTATAACTGGAAGCCATCTAGAGCTGTTCTGTGTTTAGGTGGTACCCCTTTCTCCCCTACCCACGTGACCACCCTGATTCTCATTCAAACTCTCAGTTTCCTAGATGCTGTAGCAGTCAAGGAGAAATGGAGAGCAGGACACAATGTGATAAGGAACAATGATGTTGTGTGAATTCACAGATGACCACTTGAAGAATTACAGTGACAGGTAAGTAACCCATCCTTTGTGATTCACACAAATGGGAGACTAGCGAACTGCTCATTATAGGTGCAACACAAAAAATAAAATAGATTTCTCAAATGTACCATAATTCCTGGATCTTGCCCCTGCCACCACTTTCTTGCTACAATCAGCCATATCCCTAGCTGAATTCAATTGCTGACATGTGAGGGTATGAGCCTCTGCTTGAATAGCTCCAGTCCTCCTTTTGTCTTTCCCTGGGACCTCAGCCAGCAAGGGGGACATTCTTCCCCAAATATGTTGCTGATAAGCCCCCATTCATGTTTTATAATGGGAAATTCTGAAGGAGAGGGCTGCAGCTGAATATATATTTTTAGCCATAACATCACATTTCTTGCCCCTTTATTAGAAGGAAGGGTACAGGTCATCTTTGTGGATTTGGCCTGGACAACATCAAAAATTATGAAATTTGACTTTGGATGATGTAAAAGCCAATCCCGAATCTGTTACATGGTACACTACATCAATTTTTTTATATTGTATCACAAAAGGGGTAGCTTGAGACCTGGATGCTACTTTCAGGAGGGAGGGCAGCAGTGGATTTAACACTGGCAGCAGCATTTTACTCTGATTCCAACAGTAGACCAGGTCTTAGGGTTCAGCCTCCTGCTGTTTAACTCAGTGAAGGTGGGGACATTATAAGAAAGAAGCAGATTAATGTTCTCTTTTAACTGCTGAGGAAATGATGCAAATGAAGAATCTGACTTGCAACCATCTGATGTGAACAAATCGTGAAAAACATGCTCACCAATGAGTGAAGTAAATGGGGTGTCTGAGGCGGGTATCGGGGTACCAGTGGAGGCAACACTAGATGGTAGCCCAAATGTTAAAGAGACCAATAAGAGAGGCAAAAGGCAGAACAAGAAGGCTGAGACAGTGGCTTTGTGGCTGAATGTAGCAACTTGGCAACTTTGCTTTCCAAATCCAGCGATCTTTGCCTGTCTAGTATCAACTTTGAAGGTGCATTTTGGTATTATGCAAATAGTGATGCTGAGTTTGTTGATGGTGAAGTGGATATCAGTGGTGAAGTGGATCACGTTGATGCAGTGTGGGCTACATTAGTGGTAAAGTGAATACTCCGCATAAACCCAGTGCCAGTTCTGCTCATACTCTTTTGTAAACAAGCTCTGAAGACAGTGAGAAATCAAAACAAAAATATGGTGACCTGCTATAATAATATTCCCCTATGCCGTAGCACTGAAAATCACATCCATCTTGACAGCGGTCAGATTCAAAACAGTACCAATGGTGTAGAAGTGACTTCAATCTGGGAGTTAGGTACCAATGGTGTAGAAGTGACTTCAATCTGGGAGTTAGGACCATGCAGAGGTGGTTTCAGTAAATTGAACTTGAAATCGAAGATGAAGATGCAACATAGAACAGACCAATGTGGCAGTGGAAGATACTTCTCAGGAGGCAGTGTAGGAGACTGGGCCTCCTGAACTGACATAATCAACAGGGTACTATAGAAGGCGATTTGACTGTTTTGCCTTCAAAACCTGTAGTTGCCCAAAGATCCTGTGAAGCCCTGATAGTTCACCAAGACCAAGACATGAAGAGAAGCCAAAGTTGACTGAACAGCTTGAGTAAAGCTGAAAGCCAGACTGGTCACACGGAACAAGAGAGGAGATGCTACTGCCGAAAAGCTTATAAAACAGCTTTGGGAGGTTCTGAATAATACACTGCACAGGTGCAGTAAACACATCTGTGTGAGTCACAGAGAACATGTAATTAAAAACATTTCAAACAATCATAATCCTCCTGACAATATTTCCAGCTTTATAATACAAATGTGATGCCTGGCTTAGTCGAGTAATCAAATTTGGCTAGTTCATCGTCTAGTAACCATCTCTAAACAATGTTATCTATTACAAAGTGGCAGAGGTGATAACTGTTGCTGCAACCGTTAATGAGAATCAAAGACAGATGAGGTACTGAATTGTTATGCTAGAACATATTATAGGTAAACCGCCATTTTCTATGGCCTTGGAAATATATTATTTTTATGCTGTGAATAGAACTTCTTCAAGAAGTTTATCTTAGCATCCTGAAGGTGCTACAAGCAAGACATTACAATTACTGCTCACAAACTGTATTAATATGCTGTCAGGTGTGTTAACTATGATCCAACAACTACTCTACAGCTGCACCTCAACTGATTTCTAAAACTGCGCCATATATGCATTACTGAATTCTTAGCAGCAGAAACAGCTATATTTGTTGTATTATGATGAAAAAAGCAGTGAGGGTTTTCTGATAATCAATGCAAGGTACTAGCTGCACTGTAGGTACTCTAAAAGACCATTTTTTTTAATAAACATTATTCACTTTCATAAATTATAAGATCCCTAGTGTCAAAGCTCTTAACAGAATTTGCTCTTGTAGGTTTGCAGCCATATTATTTTTTCTAAACATTTAATAACTATTAAAATGCCTTAGCTGTCACTTTTCTCTTGTTTATTTTATGAAATATTCATATCCAACTGTCTTGCAGACAACATATCAGCAAGGTCCCTGGAAGAGAAAATTGTGTATTAAGGGAATTACCCCAGAGAGAGAAGCATCTAATGAAATGTTAGCAGAGAAGCTGTAAACCTGTGTTAAGTCTGTGTAATGGAAATACTACTCTATATGATTAACTAGTTCATTTGAATTTCTGAGTCCTTGTCTTCTGTGTTCTGGGCTTTGTGACTGAAAGTTAAAGAAGTCTCTAATCGCAAAAACCTATTAAGAAAACAAAATGACCTCTAAAACACATCTATTTTGGCTTCTAGATGTTTGTCTACTGTCTATACAACTACTCACTTTACCTACTCTCAATACAAATATTCTAGCCCCCATGAAGACCACGAGCTTCTCTTGAAGTGACTAACTTTTCAGTATTATCAGACATATATACCAATAAGAAGCAAGGAAGTGATATTTATTTTTTTGTAAAGCGAACATAACTGAATGGACTATCTTTGGATTAAGCATTTCACCTTAATTATATGCTCATTCTAATGAGGCTTTCCTCCTACACTGGAGTAGAAGAATGGAAGAACTCATCAACCCTATAACTATTAACAAACATAAACTTGGGGGTAGTGGAGGATGGACTGGAGGTGAGACCCATTTTATTCACCCTTAATGCCCCAGTATTGTAATATGGTATTGCCTCTGAGAATTATAATTTCTTCCTAAAATGGGGTATGCTGCTGTATCCCTCAGTGTCTGAGATAATATCATCCTGAGATGGGATACTATGAGCAAGTAGAATCCAATGGCCTATTTAATCTGATTACATGGGGAAATCTACACACTACTCACTGTCTGATTCTTGCCACTGTTGAAAAATCTCATTCTCGAATAAGCTTCAATTGGGCGAAACAGTGAAGATTCATTTGATTTTAAAACACAACAATGCTAAACTTTTAAGGATGCCGCTAGACACTGTAACTCTATCATTCAGAAGCACCACTAAAGAACTGATGGAGGAAAGGAAGAGCCAACTTCAAGTTAGAGCAACTAACGTACTAAACTTGCCTTCTGATGCCCCTGAGCTACCTATTGCTGAAGCTTCTGGAAGACCTTTTGGAGTGAAAATAGTTAATCTCTGAGAATAGTCTAAGGAGAAGAAATACGTGTCAGAATTTAAGTACCCACCGCTATTTTTCAGGTAAAATGAAACTACAGACCATGCCATTCAATTACAAAGTTATGATAAAGCACCAGAACCAAAATCTTTGATTGGGCAAAGATAAAATGCATATATGACGCTCTCACCATCCTCTCCGTTCTGATAAACCCCTCCATAAGGAGTCTGTCCGGACCATCCTCTCAATCAGCTTCTTCCACAGCATGCCATCAGATGTCACCCGATACCATTCCTTGCATACTAGCTCAACAGCACACAAAGATTTTGCATCCAGGTATGACAAGATATTCTCTGCAATGTGGTCCAGGCCTCGAGCTGGAAGGAAAACCAGGAAGCTCACTAGGAGTCTATGACTTTCAAGAACACATTTTCATCCTTATAATTGTTTGTTTCCTTCACTGTTATTACATAGCTGGGATGATCAAGCAGAAAATAGTCTCTTGTGAAGTTCAGAAACCAGCAAATTTTGGGGGGATAAGAAACAGCAAAACATTAATGACAATAAAACAAAATCCAGCAAGTCAGTCCAATTTATTTCTAAGGGTTTCTCAGCATTGGGAGATGTTTTGTGGAAGGCTTTTCTCTCTTGATGATGTATACCTCCAAAATCTTGCTATATTAGGGCTATTTCTCATTTTGCTACTATAACTGTTCTTGTAATCAAAAGCATTTTTTTTGTTTATACAACAGGTTTTTGATGCACTAAAGAACAGAAAACACATGCACTTGTGCAACTCGAAGGCAAATACTATCTAAGTATGTATATGTAGTGTGTCTCTCACTAATAAAGCTTCACTTTGATGCTTCTATGATGATGAGATATGGAGACATGGAGGAGGGAACCCTGCCAGTCGAATTTATAGGTACATAATACGTGAAATGCTATGCTAGTATGGGTGACAGAAAGCATTTCCTGAACAAAAAAGAAATACAAGTATTAAAATTTCTGTAGTTTAAAAAATATGTAAGAAAAACCAAGATACTGTGGTTTTAATAGCATCTACTATGCTATAAATATTCATGTTCAGAAGTCCTTCACATATATCTTTTTTACTCGAAACCAAAATGTTTGTGTGAGTCATAGAGCAAGAAGTAGAAAGTAGCATTCTTGAATTCTGAAACAAATGAATAAACAAAAAAAAAAACAACAAACCAACAACAGCATTATAGGAATAAACATCAAGTGACATCCAAGGTACAGGGAAAATATGAGAACACATTGTCATCTACAAAAATATGAAGAATCACAGGAATATTAAGTTCTAAAGTATGTAGAAAACTACCCTATATTGGGACAGATCAATACTCCTGCAAGTTAAGTACTATACCAGGTATGGAAATCATGTGGCTCTCCAGATGTCACACTATAACTCTCAGTGTTTCTTATCATTGGATACAGACTAGGCTGCTGTGAGTTGTAGCCTAACAGCATCTGAAAGTACACATAATTGGATGTGCAACTGGTAGCATCTTGTAGCTGCTGGATTTCAACCCTCAGCAGCCCTAGTTAGCATAGCCAATGGTAAGGAAAGGTGGGAATTGCAGTCGAGCAAGATATGGAAGTCCAAAATCTGCCCACTGTTCTCTACAGCACTGTTTTTTAAACTGTGAGTTCCGCCTTCTTAGCTCAATGTTGGGGTCCCAAAAAAGTTGGCAACAATAAAAGTTTTCTGATTGTAACCTAGTGGCTATTTTAGACATTTATACCAATCTGTTGTGTGGTGTTTACAGTGGACTCTGCAGAAGATGTTTCAGCTGTACTTCATAAAAACAAAAAATCAGCCTGTTCAGCAAACCTTTGAAATACCGATATGTTATTAGTAAATGTTTGATTTTTATACCTATTTTATATATCTATTTACCTGAGGTAACATAAAAATGTCTTGGGTGGAAAGTTTAGGAAGACCTGGTCTACAGCAATTAGGGTCGAATCAACATCTGCAAAATATTCAGGCTACCTGTATTAAAGAATTCTGCAACCATAGAGTCAACCATCCTTGAAAATAGCTTGAAAATACTTTTAAAAAACTCTAAAGAAAACCATTGCCATTATTGCCATTTTATATTATATAAGGGACACCATTTTATTATGCAATTGTATATAATATTACTTTAGTATCTACGGATTTTGGCATTCACGGGGGGGGGGGGGTGTCTTGGAACCAAACCACAGGGGATACCAAAGCCCTATTGTTATTTGCCTTTACTTTAATCCTGCTGCTCTTGGAACACATAATCTCATTCTATTTTCAAAGTGAACATGCTTTTAAAAAACTTCAATGCAATTTTTAAAAACCCTTTTTATTTCTGTTTCTGGCCCTTAAATCGTGACTGGGGTGGAATCAGAGGATGGTTGGTTGGAGGATGGGATAAGTTGGACAATTGTATCTAGGTCCAGAATGCATGGAATCAACATTTTAACTCCCCCCCCCAAAAAAAAACCCCCTCAAACCCCAGTATGTTTAAATAACCAAGGCTGGCAGGGCTTCTGAAACAGAGGCATTCAATGTATGGGTAGATTGGCAAAATTCATGGTGGGATCATGGCACCCACGTTTGGCAAGTGTGTTGTCATTTTTTTAGTTCTATGTATGTACATATGAAGTTCTCTGCATAGTTAAATATCTGATGGCTCACAGGAGTAAACGTTTAAGACATTTAAAAACATTTGATATGGTACGCTTTGATATAGTGTGTTGGGATATAGTACATTCTTGCGAGTGTTAATTTGAACTGAAACATCTGTATGTTTTTTCAACACAATACTTTTCATACATTCCCTGTAAAATAAATCTGGCAGAGATTAATCTAAATCAGAGTGGGAAACCTATGGCTCTCCAGATCTTGAACTACAGTTCTCATTCTCTCCCTATTGGGGATGTGTCTAGGACTGATGGGAGGTGGAATCCATTATCACCTGGAGAGCCGTGAATTGTCCATTCCTGGGCTAAATGCAAACAGAATGTAGGTGTTTGGCTATATGAAGTGCATTAACAGATTTAGAGGGTACAAGCTCTCCTGAATTGGGGAAATGTTGCTGCCAAGACTATGAGGGTCATGAGTGGGAGTCGCGGGGAATTTACAACTTCTTATGTGCATGTAACAAATATGAATTGGGTTTTTTTTGAATGGGTAGATTATAGTCCAATCTATTTGCAAGGATACTTTAGCTGCTTGATTGAGTCCATCCTCCCCCAGTTTCACTTGAGAAAGTAAAAAATGCCAGATTAGCACTGCAGGCAACATTTTGCCCCTACAAGTAAAAAGCAACTGTATGTCCAGAGTAAGATCAAATGCTTTATTTCCTGCCCTTTTTACATCTGCTGAAAAGACTGAGCTTCATTTGTCAGCAAAGGAAGCTGAGCATAGGATGAATAAATGCAATTTGGGACATTGGAGATCACATGTCCACACTTAAGCAGAGAGATGCACAATGAGATGCCTATCACATGATTCTCATCAGTGCCCACGCTAGACACCGTGTACTCAGTCTTTGCTGCTGATGGGAGACAAACAAAGGGCCTCATAATGCATCCAAATTGTTTTCATTCCGTTCTTCCATGCTTTCTGGAAAAATTCATTAAGCATGTATTTGAAAAAAAGGCCTCTGAGAGATGATTCCCTCAAAATTATACACCAAAATGTGGGGCAGGGATTATATAAATAAAAAGCAAATTAATGAGGATAAATCAAACAGTGCACCACATAGTCAATAAGACAGACTGTACTTATAATTGGAAGAATGGGAAGCCCAAATAAACTGTTTTTCCCCATCCCTACAGCAAGTACCAGTAGTAGTTTTCTCCAGTTCAATGAATCTGAAACTCTACTTGTAACTTGGAGGCTATGAATCAACTGCTAATTATGAAAGGCACCTCTGGCCTTTGCAATCTTGTTTACTGAAACTTAACCTACATAATTTAAAATGCTGGTGGAAAACATCAGATGCTTCACAACATCAGGAATGGCATACTGCCTTCTATTTCAATTCTGCTTCTTATTACAATACCTGGCAATGCTGTGATGAAGTCTCTCTGTAACATAGGCTTGAGATATGAGTTGATATGTCCATGCTGATAGTGACACATCTGGGAGATGAGCTGCTCCACAAACTCCACTTGGTCAGACTCTGACCACTGCTCAAAATACTTGATGCAGAGCTCCTTTTCCTTTTCATAGCTTGCAGACAGCTTCCTTTGCTTGGGCACAATCATGCTTGAAGTGCCATTGGCAAGTTTTGTCTAGGTCAGAAAAAAATGAAATGAACAAAAGTGAATTTTACACAAGAAATAATCTGTTATTTGTAGAAAACAACATGCTGCACATGTACTTACTTGAATAATGGAAAAAACACATCACTCAAGGCTTAATTATGTTATAGAGTGTAAACTGCTTGTTATTTTGCCACCATGAACTATAATATGTGGAAATACTTGCCTACTTTTCAACATTTTACTTTTAAAATACCAGCTTTATAGACACAATGAACTGCAACAATAATTAACACAAAACATGTAAGATATAAAAAGGAAGAAACTATCTACTGCTGTTGCTGAACTGTTTATTCAAACACTATGAATGTAGAGGGCACTTTTACACTGAAATGTAAAAGGCATTTTATATGACTATATATATTTGACTTTACGGTGTTAGATGTTCATCATGAAGCTGGCTGCAGAAAGAAGAATTTCAGGGATAGGCAGAAACTATGAATCTCCTCTGCCTAACTCTCAAGGGGTTCCACCTTTCAAATATCATTGATAAAATATTCAGTGTGTATTTTATCTCTGCAAGGACATCCTATCTCCTAAACAAAGCGACTGCCAGCCAATGTTGTTCCCATGTTAGCAACTAAAGATCATTAAGTGTTTGTTTTTTCAGCCTCTCTTCAACAACATAGCGAGCTGAACTACATCTATGCAAAACAAGCTTGTATACCTGCATGCCCTGGAGATTACCAAGACATTAGGCTACTCAGAAGTTCAGATACTGCACATTAATAAAGAGAATAGCAGTCCAAAGTAGTTTAGTGACTTGCTACAAATGTGCAGTGATTAAAAATATATATAGAAAAAATGCAACACTTTGAAATCTTAATATGGCTACTTGGTATAGAATTGCTGGATTTCACCATACTCAAATGTTGCTGATGATAGTCTAGCATTAAACCATGAAAACTAGACTCTATTGAACAATGGCCTGGAGGGATTCTGTATCTGTTTTCACAGGAATTTGCTTGTTTGCAGAACAAGAAAGCCAATGAAACGCTGGATTAAGATTTAGATAGTTGATAAACGGTGTATTTTACAAGCATGACCTCATTTTATTTCCCATTTTACTTGCTGCACAGCCGATCTTAGAGCAGGCTATCCCCATCCAATGTTTTTAAAGTTGCTGCTTACCATTCTACCGCTTATAAACATGGTCCACTAAAACATGGCCCGCTAAAATAGGAACCTATGTAAGACAAACCAACAGCCTGCCTAAGAAGGGCTATTATTTAGAACGTGGCAATGAACTACTTGGTCCATTGTGTACCATCAACCAGGCAGGGATGGTAATGCTCAAATTCTCTCAACCTACAATCTGTTCCCTGTTTTCATAGCAAATGAGTGCTTAACACAAGTCTAAAACCATGGACAAGCTTTGAAAAAGACCTTTAATGTACACATGTACAATTGAAAATTAGTTAGTAGATGTTATTCCTTAAATTACTGGAATTGAAAGAAATCCAGCACAATTTCCCCCCAAATATCCAGTGCACTATAAATGAAGCTATTGTTTTAGCAGAATGATTTTGATTAGTTATTGTGCATTTCATCTGTATTCACGATTCTGCTTTTAAATATCTACCGTGAAGTATGTCACTGTAAAGCCACCACCTAAAAATCCTTCCTTGCATTCAAGGATGTCTTGCCCATGCTGAAAACCTATAAACTGACTATTTTCTAATCCAAAAGGTATTTTGGTCATTTTGATTTGAGATTGGGTCTGTTTTCATAAATAAGGTTACAGTAGGTCCTTGGCATCCACTGGGGTTTGGTTCCAAGACCAAACTCTGTTGATGCTCAAGTCCCACTAAGAACAATGGCATAGGAAAATGGTGTTCCTTATATAAAATGGAAAAATTAAAGTTTCCTTCTTGGATTGTTATTTTAAAAAATACTTTTTGCTGAGGATGACTGAATCCATGAATGCAAAATCTGTGGGTACTGAGGGCTGTCTGTTTAATACAAGTATGTGTGAAACACAGAATAGGAAAAATTTACCAGAGAATTCCATATGTCTTTGTAGTCTGTTCAGACTCATTCAGATTTTAACTTATAAACTTTATACTAGAATTTTGTTTCATAGACAATCTACTGTCTATCAGAGGAACGGTCAAAACATGACACTTAAGATACTCCTGGACCGTAACTGCCATTAACCCTAAAAAGCAGGTAATGGCAAGTCAGCATGAGTTTGCTGATAAGGAAATATAAAATACCTTATATTTGCAGGGGTTATTTCTGGATAACAATCTTTGAACCCATTTTTGTGAAATCATATTGAGTGCATCTTGCTCTTCAATTAACAATTTCCTTCTTCCAGTCTTATGTGTATTGTGCTTCTCCTCCTTACCTCATGTATTGTTTCCTTCCTTGCCCTTTGTATTGTTTCTTTCTATTACTTCAATTCAAGCATAGCAATTAAACTGCAGCATGTTGTACTTCCCAGTACTGGGAATGGTGGGGAAAAGTGAGATCATGATTATAAGAGAGAGAGAGAAGGAGAGATTGAGAGTGTGCACACAAGCGTGGGGCACTAGCAATTTGAGAAGAGGTCTGTAGATGGAAACACCCCATTTGGTTACAGGCTGTTCAGCTTGTGGCTCTGGGCAAGTCATTTCAACCCTCTCTGCCTCAGTTTATGGAAAGTGCTCTGCAATTTCTAGGCAGTATAACTCTTTATGACTACAAAAAAAATCATCTCTAGCCCTATATGTACAAACTTCACTGCTTACCCTTAATCTCTACAGAAACTGTAAAGCACAGCTTTTCCCACTCTAAAAGACATTTAAATTATTGTAAGTGTCTAATGGGGGGGGGGGGGCAAGAATCAAGTAGCTATTACTTCTTGAGGCAGATAGCAGTAATCAAGTGATTGGATTTCTGAGAAATCCATTGGTGATTATCTCCAAATCTTGACAAAGGTCTTAAAATATACTGATAGCAGAAACTAAATGCTGCAGCATGGGGTGTACACTACCATTCCCACCAAAAATGAGAAAGAGAGAAAAAGGTTGAATTTTCAGCCCCAACTACATCAAGAATAGACATGTGCTTTCATACGCAGGTCTGGCTATTCATTTACAAAAAGAGATGAGCAAATTGATGCAACTGCCAAATGAGCTTGTGAGAGGAGTGCTGAATCCACTCTCCATCACCCCATAGCTCCTTTTCCAAAATAATGACAACAGGTGGATGATGCAGGATGAAAAGAAAATGATCCTGCATGAAAAGAGTGAGGCCAGAAGGGAAAGGAATCCAATGGCCACGCTGATGGATGCCACCTGAATGCAGAGGTAAGAGACAGCATGAAAAGCTGCTTGGCAATCAATAGTGACTCTTACAAGCCTCTGTCCTACAATACTGGCTGGCGGAGCTTGGTTTCACTCTTTGTTTCGCTCCCATAATCCAAACACAGCATACAGAAAGTGGATTGACTGAACAGGTAAGAGCAGTAACTACATGGCTTCAGGATCCTCTGTCTTGAAATCCATATAGTTATTTTCATATCTTGCAGATGAATGAGACTGACTTCTGTCATCATGAATGGTTTGTGCCTTAGAAACATAGCATGAAACAATAACCTTGAAAATTCTGAAACACTGTTGTCATGAAGATGGATGACTGCTTCAGAACCAAAGACCACGATAATCTTACAAAGGTGAGTTCTTTCAAACCCAGACCAATTGCTTCCCCCTTTCCACCTTCAGTTTCTAATCTGAGACAAACTGCCAGAACTATGAGTAAGCAGCATGTTGACATGGTCTATTCTGTCCATCTCATTAGAATCTGATTTCACAAAATGCAGCTTTGTGTTGTTGAATTGTGTCTCTTCTATGTTTTCCAGAAATAAATCGAAGAGTTCTGAACACAAGGGCATTCTATTGATCTCAAGGAGGACACAAAATGTTTCTGCTGAGCTTTCTTTTGAGAAATCCTTTAGGTACAGCAGTTAATGGGAACATCACATTAAATGAACAAAGAAACAGTGGTTCAGATAAAAAGGATTACCTAATCAACTAATAATTTAGAAAAAGACAGTGTCAAAAAAGTAAATATTCCTATAGTATCACTTATCATTAACTTTCCAAGAGGTAAATTTCACAATGACTTCGTATACTGAATATAATAAGCTATGACTAAACAGAATAAAAATGTTCTTGGTTTACTGACCACTGCCAGAATCTAAAGCACTGCCTCACATTAGAAACTATTTTTGAAAAAATCATTACAATCACACCTGGCCAATACAAAAATACTATTCGAAACCTTTGCTGAATGTGCTCTGGCATTTCCATGCACTTATGTGATCCGTGCAATTGTAAGCAACAAATGGCAGGAAGGGTTAAGCCCAAATACTTGGTTCTGTGACTACAGGATGTGTGGAAGATATCCACAGCTTGAAAATATTCAAACAAACCAAGAGAATTCCAAAAAAGCCCTGATTTTGCCATCTTATAAGTGACTCCATTTTACTATGCCATTGTATATAATGGGACTTGAGCAGCCACAGATTTTGGTATCCACAATGGGCCTTGGAACCAAACCTCAATGGATATCAAGGACCCACTGTAGTAACAATGATGCAAAACACAACTGACTTGTGAAATCTAGAGTAAATAGGGTGAAAAGAAACCAGAGTAGAGTCGCAGCTATAAGACAAGTAGAAGGAGGAGCCTTCAGTGGTGCAGCGGGTTAAACCACTGAGCTGCTGACTTGCTGTCCGAAAGGTAGGTGGTTCAAATCCGGGGAGCGGGGTGAACTCCTACTGTTAGGCCCAGCTTGTGCCAACCCAGCAGTTCAAAAATATGCAAATGTGAGTAGATCAATAGGTACCACCTTGGCAGGAAGGTAACGGCACTCTATGCAGTCACACTGGTCACATGACCTTGGAGGTGCCTACGAACAACATCGGCTCTTTGACTTAGAAATTGAGATGAGCACCACCTCCCAGTCTGACATGACTAGCCTTA